GAGCCAGCACCGCTCGGTACCGAGCAAGTATATGCTCGGTATTGAGTGGTACATGCTCAGTACCACTAGGTACGTGCTCGGTACCACTAGGTCGAACCCCGCCAGAGGGCAGCGCCCCCTTGGACCCCCGGCAGACTAGTACATTTCTGTGAGAAACACATAACTGGTGGCGTTAAGAGGTTGAAGGATCATCTAGCATGTACTCATGTCAATGTGGGATCATGTGCAAAAGTACCTGATGAGGTGAAAAAGGAATGTACATATTATTTAAAGAAGTTTGCCACCACAAAAGAGATTACACAAAGAAATATGGAAGAGATTATAGGAAACTCTTCTTATTATGGATCACAGCATGAAGGTTCTAGTAGTGGAAGCCATCTAGTTTCTTTTAACCCAGGCACTCGAGGTCCTATGGATAGATTTATGATAAATATTGATGACGAGGATAACATAAACACTCAGGATCTTCAGCCTCCTACTGCTACAAAAGAACTCAGGAATAGGGTTTGTTTGGATATCGCCAGATTCATCTATAAAAATGGGATTCCATTTAATGTTGTTAGGAGTCCTTCATGGATTAATATGTTACGATTAATTTGGAAGCTATGGAAGAGGACTACAACTTCCCAGCATGTATGAACTGAGGACTGGGATGCTGAATGAGGAGGTCAAGACAATTTCAAAAATGGTGGATGATGTTAAGAAGACTTGGATTGAAACAGGAATCACAATAATGTCAGATGGTTGGTCAGATATTCGACATAGAAGTATTATTAATTTCTTGGTCAACAATCCATATGGAACAGTTTTTCTAAAATCAATGGATGCTTCAAGTTTTGTAAATGATGCACAATTATTGTTTGAAATGTTAGATGAAGTTGTTGAGGAAGTGGGTGATGCTTTAGTAGTACAAGTTGTTACTGATAATGCAAGTGCATATAAAGCTGCAGAGAGAATGTTAATGGAGAAGAGACCTCACCTTTATTGGACTTCTTGTGCTGCACATTGCATTAATTTAATGCTTGAGAGGTTAGAACAGTTGCCTCAGCATAAATCAGCCTTATTGAAGGCCAAATTCGTTAGTAAGTTCATATACAATCATTCTTGGGTACTCAATTTGATGAGAAAATTCACTGACAAGGAAATTATTAGATCTGCTGTTACGAGATTTGCTACTGCATATTTAACATTGTAGAGATTCAAGTAGTTAAGGCAACCTTTGGAAGCTATGTTTGCTTCTGAAGAATGGGATAAAAGTTCATGGGCAAAAAAACAAAAAGAAAAACAGGTAAAAAAATTGTTATTAAAGATTTCATTTTTGCGCAGTACAAATTATGCTTTGAAGACAACAACACCATTAGTTAAGGTGCTTAGAATGGTTGATGGTGAGAGGGCCCCGGCTATGGGATTTATTTATGACGCAATGAATAAGGCTAAAGAAGATATTGCAAAAGATTTGGGAGGTCAAGAAAGTGCCTAAAAAGAAATATGGGATATTATAGATGAAAAGTGGGATCGTCAATTACACCAACATTTACATGCTGCTGCATACTATTTAAACACTCAATTTCATTATGATAAAAACTTTCATGTTGATAAAGAGGTGAAAACTGGTTTGTATGCATGTATGGACACTCATTTTTGAAGAAGAATACCTCAAAGTGAATGATCAACTTGAGGAATTTCATTTGAAGAAGGGAATGTTTAGATTTAGAGCAGCACAAGCATGCTACAAAACAAGATCTCCTGGTATGTTTATAATTTGTATATTTATAATTTTAATTTTAATATTTATGTTCAAGTCTTATACTTCAATCAATATTCTTAAAATATTTTTCATTTTCATGTAGAACGTTGGTGGAGTTAGTTTGGAGATGATGTTCCTGAATTGAAAGCTTTTGCAGTTAAAGTTCTTAGCCCAACATGTTCGGCTTCTGCATGTGAGCGTAATTGGAGCATCTTCAATCAAATTCACACTAAGAGAATAAATCGATGAAAGTGATGATGAGCCTGCATTGGGTCTTGATCCTAAAGAGATGTTTTATTTTTAAGTGAGTTTATTTTAAATCTTCTTTTTCAGTAATATACTAAAGTTATCTTAGAACAAATCATCAAATTTACAATTGACGTAATATTTTGTTATTTTTTGACATTTTTGTCATTATCATGGTTTAAAATTGCGCAATATGAGGCTCGCCTTGAGGCCCGCCTTTGCATAATTCCAGTAAAAAACGCCTCGATGCTTACGCCTTGAGTTTTTTTTATGAGGCTTGCGCCTCAACTTGGTTGAGGCCCGCCTCGCCTCACGCTATATATATTAAAACTTACATAAATCTTGAAGTAAATGCCCGACATTGGACTCTATAGGAGAGGAGGAAGGGGAGAGAGCAGTTCATCAAAATGATGATTCAAATGAAAAACCCCTTAGTGATGATAGTGTTGATGACTTATGAATTCTTATGTGATATGTCATTGTTATTTGTTTTTTAAAATTGGAATTCTATGTTAATGAAAAGAATACTGGGATTTGGGAAAGATAGAATTTTGAGTTGAACTATATTTCATGTTGTCTTATTATTGGGATATTTTTATTTCACTTCATATTTTATGTTTTTTTATGTTTTATATTATTCACTCATTAGTATATAAAAAATTAATCATTTTATGTTTACGCAATCTTTTGATTTTAAGGCTTACGCCACAAAACGCCTTGAGGCTTACGCCTCGCCTCACGAATGAAAAATGCCTCAATACCCGAATACGCAATTTTAAACATTGGTCATTATTCATAATTTTAAATTGCTTTATTTTTATAATTTTTTGAGGCTTACGCCTCGATCTGCCTCGAGGCTTACGCCTCGCCTCGCTTAGCCACAATGCCTCGATTCCTGATTTCGCCTTTTAAAACGTTGCTTCAAACACTCAAACTCAAGGGGAGTCATAATTTTGTTAGTTTATGTAGATGATATCATATTAACTGGGAATGATGAAAATGAGAAAGTGATTCTAAGGAAATATCTTGCTAAGAAATTTGAAATCAAAGAACTTGGTAGGTTGAAATATTTCCTTGGAATTGAAATGACACACTATAGCGGAGGAATATTCATTTCACAATAAAAATACATTACTAATGTTCTTTAATAAACAATTAAACTAGCTTGTAAACCAACACCAATACCAAAGGAACCAAATTCAAATTGGGAGAAGCTAAAGAGGATACAAATGTAAATAAAGGGGAGCTTACCAGAGACTTGTGGGAAAATTGATCTACCTTTCCCACATCAGACCAAAAATAACCTTTGTTGTAAGCATGGTCAGCAAGCTCATGAAAAATCCAAAGCAATAGACAGAATACTGCACTCCTTAAAAGGAATCCAGAAAAAGAGATTCTCTTTAAAAAAGAATGTGGAATAACCCCAAAAGTATATACTGATGTAGATTACGCAGGACCACCAGTAGATAGATGATCTACCTCAAGATACTGCGCATTCCTTAGAGGAAACCTTATTATATGGAGGAGCAAGAAACATAATGTGGTGGCAATCTATAGTGTAAAAGCAGAGTTCAAAGCTATAGCCTTAGGAATATGCGAATAATTATGGATCAAGATGATTCTAGAAGACCTAAAAATCAAATGGGAAGGACCCATAAAGCTACACTGTGACAACAAATCAATAATTAGCATAACTCACAATCCAATTTAACAATACAGAACCAATTATATAGTGGATAGACATTTCATAAAGGAGAAATTGGATAGTAGTCTTATATGTATCTATCGTGTCTCATCAAAAGACCAGCTTGTAAACATTCTTACCAAGGGACTTGATAATTCTACATTTCCATGATTGATTACTAAGTTGAAAATGACTGATCAGTATTCTCCAGCTTGAGTGAACATGAGGATAGTTGACCCCAACATGAGGATATGTGGTAGGGGGAGTGTCATATCTCAGTCGTCCCTGTTTGTTGGTTAGTTGACCCTTAATCTCACAGCCGGCATGGGGATCTATGGGAAGATCACCTGGTTCACACCGATCTCTTTCCATATTTGGGTGGCTAATTTAGGAAGGATTATATTAAGTCAATTATGCATGATTATGTAGTTGTTTATTTTTTTATTAAGATATCTTATATAAATCTATACATAGGTATAGTTTTGTGCAATAAAATTAAGTATTTTCCCTCTCTAATTCTCTGAATTTAATATAGATCATTGTTAGTTTGGTTTAATTGATGGGATCAGGTTAGTTGTTGTGTCTATGTTTCTATGGATAAAAATCAATTCAATTTAATTAGGTTTATATTATTCAATTCATGTAATGTAGCAAAGTTTTATTTTTGGCAGTCAACAATGGCATTTTTAACATTGTTTATCCTTTATCATCCACGTAGGCATCATTCCTTCTATTATTTATTTTGATGTTGGGGTATCATGCCACACATTAGTCGCTGCATACGATTGATTCCCTGAGATTTTTAGTCATTTCAAGTGTGCATATCCGTGAGGAATCCTTATCATTGATATTGCTTTTATTTGGTTATGCTTATCCGTTGATTTTGAATCATGCTAAGTGTTCATTCTTTTTATATTTTTATTTATTTCAAAAGAAGACGAGTTCTTATAATGGCCTTTAAAACTATGAATTCTAAATTAGCAAATTTCATCCATTACATTATTTAATTGTATTGAAAACCCCAGTTCCTAAGATGTCTTACATTATAATATCTTAAATATAAAATTTCAAAAGACAATAACTAAACAATTGAAAATCAACTGAAATGTTGGAATTCATTAATTTGGACATTTAGAGATCTTTGTTGGTAATGCAAGTTCAAGTGATTCTAAAACTTGGATTTATGCACAAGCATAAAATGATGCCAATGCAATTAGGCTATAAATTAGCATAAGAAAATGCATGATGCCTTGGCAATAATGGTAGATGATGGCCAGTTGGCCACAATTTTGGAACATAGAAATCATATTAGTTAATACACACTGTTTTTGAAAGTTCGCTACCCATCTCCATAGTCCGCAAGCACAGAGGGATTATTTCTGTTTGAAGAAGAAAGCTGATAACCTCAGGATCATCAACCTGAAAAAAGCATAAAAAAAGCTTAAATTATTTATTTTAAAAAAACAACTACTAAAAGCTGCCCCCACAATGGAATGAGATGGAATGAGATAATAATCAAGTTAACCATATAATACTGATCTTATAATTAATGTTTTTTGCAGTTTTGCCACAAACTTGCAATAACAAGATTACAAACTGATAATTCAACAGATAATAATCTGATCATAGGGATGTGAAGGACACTGGTTACACAAAAAGGTAGATGTCCTAATATTGTTCATGCTAAGCCAATGTGATCATAAAACAACAATTAAAAAATGGTTCTTAACCTCAATGAGGAAAAGTCTAGGCAGACAATGAAACCCAAAACAAATATAATAACCAAGATTTGTATTCAAGAAAACCGGAGATCATAGCTACAAATATCAATTGGTCAACACATTTCTTCAACAAAGTAAATGAATTTGATGCATGAAATTAATTACCTTTACAAGGGCACCGATTACTCCCAAGCTAGTAAGCCTTAGATACTCAAATGGCCTGGTTTTGCTGGTTGTATTTAAGAAAGGATACAAATACAAAGGTATATGAGCTGCAAAAGAATTTAAATTTTTAGTCTTATGTTGTTAATTCTACATACTATCATTACATCAATAACAAAAAGTACTTTATAGACATTCTATCAATGAAAATGATTATTTAAAAAAATATTCGTCTTTTCAAAGCATAGAAATCAATTATCAATTCTAAAGTCTGTCCAAAATGACAAAAAAAGAGATGCTAACCTAACTCCAAATGTTTAAACTAGAATAACTCCAGTGCAGTTAACCAATACCTTTTTCCCTTAAATTCACAATTTTGTTCAAACGGATTGCTCAATTCTGATTTCGACTCCTATTGTGCTTGTTTGCATGTAATCATACAAGCTTTTATGGACTGTTGAAGGCTTCTACCATTCCGGATTGAAAACTTCCTCTACATTTCTAAGATGTGGATTTTTTTGCTAGTGCTTTGGAGGATTACAATGATATATCTTGGGCAAAAGATTACCTCCTTTTGTAATTTCTTGTCTGATGTCTCTTTACTTTTTCCATCTAACTTGTAAGCAGAATCTATAGTTGACTAAATTAGCTCGAGTTTAATCCACTCAAAGGCAGAATATGCACGCAGCATATTATAGTTTAAAAGATTGTATTTTTTTTTATATATTATAGATATAAGGTGCTCAAGTCTTTTTATATCTTAAAAAAAAAACTTTAAGAACTTTCTTCATACTAACATCAGAAACATTAGAAAACTATAGCACGGAAATGAAGTTCTTGCATAACAAATTTAGCTCCGTGAATATCAAACTTAACAAACAGTTCATCAATACAAATAATTGTCTCCAAGGAGTTCTCAATAAAGGCCTGAAAAATCTATGTTACTCGACAAAAAAAAAGAAGAAGACAGAAATAGTTACATGCATGGAAAAGTTGGTGACAATTTAAGCAACCACCTCTTTTTGCACATATAGACATAAGGTGCAAATTTTAATCTGGTCTAGTATGTAGATAAAATCCAGCTATTGAAAACCTGTAATTCTATTCAAGATCTTATTGGAATTTTTTTTTTTTGTTCTCTGATAGCATACAGCCTCAAGCATAAATTTATGGTGATTAAAATATATTTAAATTATGATTTACTGACGTTATAGTTTATTTAAAAGTTAGCAATTTTGTTTGGCCTGGAAATTTGCAAACGCATTTTTGTTACTACAATTATAAACCTGTAATAAGCTTGTAATTTTATCATAGTGCCATTTCTCTTTTATCAAGTTAGAAGTTCTAAAGCTTATGCAAAATAATAAGAGAAACAAAGACTATTAATTTAAACAAGTATAATAATAAAAAAAAAATATAAACCTAATTAATAGTTCAGTGATTTCATCTAAGTCATTCAAAAATTGACAAGCTAAAAACCCCACATGCAAGGAATTAGAAGAAAAAATCTGAATAGATAACAAATTTTGGGGTTGGATTGGCAGAGTTAAAATAACCAGGTTTGTGTTCTCTGGAAATCATTTAGCAAAACTTCAACTGGCACCAAATGCAGCCTTTGACTATAAGATGAGAAGCTAATTAAAATTAGCTAAACCAACATCAAATAGATGAAGTGAGCCTCATAATGATCATCAGCTAAACTCTACTAATTATGACTTCCTTAGATATTATGTGCTTGTCCTCAGAAAATTTGGTTGGCATTTGATAATGGAAACCCAGAATCACAATCAACAACCTTAGTTGTAACAGCCACTGACAAGTTAAGAAAAAAAAAACCTGAAAAATCAATTGAATACTTTATATACAAAGAAATTGTTTAAACACAGGACCAAGAGGAATACCATTAAGGAAAAGAATCCTTGTTTCTGAATGTGAAGCCACACACTGTATTAAAAGATCAAAGCAGAATAAGTACCATTAGATGCTTGATGATCTTATTCCTATAAAAGAAATACATTCACTCATCAAGGGCCGCAGTTATATATGAGAAATTCCAGAGAGTTCATGCATCATATATAGTAGACTAATCGGTTATACTGCAATTATAGCACAATAGTTGTTAAGGAAAAAATTTGTGATACAAGTAAAACAATGCATTAGTCCACCAAGGCCAACGATACTGACCAAAAGTATGATAAAACTAATAAACAAGTAAAACATATTATTAGAAAGCCTAGGTGGGCAACCCAACAAAAATTTAGTGCAATTTTTAAAACTATTATGTATTCTCATGTTATTAAACTATTATGTATTTTCATGTTAAAAATATACAACCCCACATAGCATGATAAAGGCTTGTTGTTGTTGTTGTAAACTATGTTAAAATATAACCATTAACCCAGTTTTCCAAATTTATGATTTGGAGAGAGAAATTTCTGTATGGAGAATGTATTAGCTATCAGACACACCACAGCACTGTAAAGAAGCAAAACAAATGAAATAATTAATATGGCGTCTACACTACTAAAAAAAAAAAGCATAGGCATCACGTCCATATCATTAGAATGCACTTCACTGGTAAAAGCATATCACATCCACAAAAAGTTCAAAGCAATTCACTGCAACCACATGCAAATAAAAAAAATCGGCATTGCATTTGTTCAAACATTTAAAGTTAGAAATCAAAATACACAAAAATATGCAAGTGAGAATAAGGCACATTCAGAAAAAAATAGTTCTTAATTACCGCTTAGAATTGACAAAAGGAAATCACTATTTCATGACTTTGCGACAACTATCTTATAGAAAGAAACATAAACAGGTCCAGGCAATATGCTTAATCAAACAGCTAACCTGAAGAAGAGCAAGTGCGTTACAAACCCTATTTGATGCTCCAGGAGTCAATGTTGGTGGTGAAAGCGCTGGATATATTGATACAATTTCCTGAAGATAAAAATGATGTTATTAATTGGATTAACAAATTTGGAGATGAATCTATGTAGTCAACTAATTGAAGTACTTTATTAGAGGCAACATGAAAGATGCCTGTTCAGGCATTCTATCACTCAACATGCCCAATAACTGTTGAAACATTCTCCAATAGCATTTGACTTAATTAAGTTACAATGTAATTATGCATAGAGCTGTAATGTTTAGCTAAGCAAAAAAGAATGTGGTACCAAAAAAAAAAAAAAAAAAACCAAAACGGAAGACAGCTTTGCCACTTGATGTCCCTGCAAAGCACAGCGACGTCGGAGCTACTTAACCCTGTTCACTTCATGACAAATTAAATTTGTATGGTAGTTAGTATGGCTATATAAGTGTAATATTTTCTTGTGTTGGGTTCATCCTAGCAAGTTGCTACATTTGTCTATAAATATATAGCTAATACTTGTAATAAGGGGGAGCATAATGATAAGTATTTCTTTTGCCCCGTTTCTTTCGAGTTATGTATCCTGAAATGTTTCAGGTGGTGGTCTCATACCCAAGAAATGTGTTACCCAAGAAATTTGTTCTTGGGTTTATTCGGCTAGTTATGTTCAACACCTTGCATCTCCTATGCCTCTCCATCCATGTCGTGATCCCTATTTCCCTTCCTTGTCTAATGTCCCACAGTGAACTTCCTATGGGAAAACTGTGGTGGAGTCGCCACATATCGAACTCGCAATGTGAAACTGCGAAGCACGCTTCATTTTCATCCATCCTAGCACTCTCCAACATGATTCAATTAAATGTTGTGTGGGCTCTGAAAAATTCCATTTTTGTAATGTTTGATCCCGGCCTCTCTACATCATCTGTCTATTTTTCTTTTAAGTGTTTGTGTGACGACGACGATAGAGAGTTTTAACGAGATTAGGTTCCGGGGGAATTTTCAGAAGGCAGATTGGGTTTTAGATAAGACACTACCCAGAGATTTCGCCCTAATTTAGTGAGAACTTTTTTATCTGAGTTCTGGTTTCCTATAGACGCAAGCCCCTATAGTTAATTACCCCTCCCGATAATAGGAGAGAACTTTCGATTAAGGCTAGTCATTAAAGTAGTTATATAGGTTAAAAAACCTATCATATAATAGCAACAATTTTAGGGTTTAAATTTTGAATTTGGATAATGAGGAGACCTCGCACGGAGGGGCTCGGATCGGTCGGAGCAGGCGGAGGCCGGGGTCGGCTTCGTTGGCGGCGACGGTTCAGGCGGGAGGTTGGTGACGTCGGCTCAGGCGGTTGACGGCAGGAGCAGGTATTGGCCGGCGGTGAGAATATTAGAGGCTGGTTAGGGCACGAGCAAAGAAACAGTCGCGGCAGTTGGAGTCGGCCGGAGCAGGAGGTCGGCGGAGGCAGAGGCGGCGTCGGCTTGGCCGGAGCAGGCTTTGTCGGCGGTTATGTGCGAGCGAGAGAGAGATCGGAGGTCGTATACGAGATCGACGTCGAAGGAAGAGGTAAGTCGCAAATCCTTTCTCTCTTGCGATTTCTTTCTGTTCTGAGAGCGTTTCTGTGAGCGTGAGAGTGAATGAGAGGAGGCCAATGTTTTGTGTCGTGAAGAGCGGTTTCTGCCGAGAGAAGTGCGATCGTGGGCGACGTGGGTTGTTCGTGGCTGAGGTGGAATGAGCGGTTGAGTGTCGTGGGTAGTTTTAGTCTAAGCCGTTGAATGGGCGACAGTTTTAGGTTAACATGTTGCTTTGCACTTTATAAGAAGTATTGCATTGAGAATTTTTCATGATCCTCGACATCCTTTTTTCGCTTTCAACATCCCTAGCCTCTCTCAATGGTTAGCTCCCTTGCTCTCCCAGGTATTCTATCAGATGCTTCCCTTCCTTAATGCTAGTAATCGCTTGGGATTAAGAGCTCGTGCATTTAAAAATATTTCCAAAAATTATATCCCTGCGTTGATTTATCTTTCTCAAATGATTTTCCCTCTCTATGCACAAATTCACAATTTCCTTCACCCGCATTTGGAGAAATGAGATCCAATGTTGGCCTTATTTTAAAATCATTCCTCGAGCTGCTATTGGTGTGGTTTCTCCTTCTTTCTTTATTTTATATTTGTAAGGATACCTTTCACTCAGCTGCAAATAATTTACTTGATAGATTCGGAGTTGCTGTCATGTCACATGGGTTGCTTCTTATGTTGTGACATAGCAATGTTAGCTCTATGTGGCATGTAGTGTTTTTTTTTTTTTTTTGTTCTTCAACTAAAAAAATTTGCTTGCCCCCTATTCCCAAGTGTGTAAGCTCTGAAAATCCTAATAATTATTCACACTAGTTATTATTCAAAAGGCATATTAGATATTAAATAAAACAATATCCAGAAATTTCAGCCTCTAACGTGGATGTTATAATATAGTTAGAGATTTCACATAGAAACAAACCGTTATGCAAAATTATCCCTATCAATTGCGAGGGAAAGCAATCGATTAAGGATAGTAAAAAGGCTCTATGATGCTTTATTATAGTAGCAACAATTTGAATTGAAGGAAAGAAAGATATCTTGTTACTGGCTGTTGATAGAGAGAATGATGATAAATCCGATCAAAACCCTAAATCCTAAATCAAGTATTAAGCATAATTGAAAAATTCATAATTTATTATACTGTACAATCATTGATTGTATTGTATCATTATGTGATTATGTTCTTTTTCAAATTTAATAAATCAAGTATAATTATTAATATTAAGAGATACAACAATTAATAAAAAAAATGATCCCAATATCTTACTGTATGATCTTTCTTACATAAATATATTAACAAGATCAATTTAAATTAACTAAGATTAATCAAATTTTGAATTAATTGCATTGTACAATGATCATCTTACCCTATGGTATACTTTATCATTTTAATCAAATCTACAAAATCAATTTAAATTAATTGAGATTATTCAAATTTTAAACTAAGCATACTGAATGATTTATGTAGTTTAAAACTAATTAATCACATTATTATATCAATGATAAGTATGATCAAAATTGACTAATTATATTGTATAATTTTGATCATATTGTAGGATCTCCAATAACGAATTATGTCTTTTTTAGCAATATATGGGATTGATAAATATGACAAAGGCCATTCTTATAAAACATATTTGAAACCCTAAACGTTAAATATCACTTGTAAAACCTTAGAAAATTTCTAGTGAGAAAAATAAATCTCACACAAAAAGGTAATCTTCTTCCTTCAAAATCTTATGAACCTCACATTTATACACTTGGTTTTGAAAGGCTTATTTGATTGTTCTTAAAATAAAGACCATGGATCTCCAAAGCAACCATGCAAAAGCTAGATTATCTAGCGAGTTGTGCTAGGAGTAGATTTCTCATTTTTTAGCATAAATGGTGTAGGGTTTCTTCATTACCTATGAAAGAAAGAGGCTAGGCTTTTCCACCTTGTTGTAGTGAAGGAGAGGATATTTGAAAAATCCTAAAAGCACTCGAAGCACTATAATTCAATATGCGCTCTCTTTTCTTTTCCAAACTTATACTTTTCAATTTTTTACTTGCTATATTCTCCTACAAGAGTGACTTCCTATACTCTGAATGATTGATTGCACGTGATGAATGCTTTGAGAAATTCTTGAAATAGAATGAGGTATTTTTCATAAAATTTCTATTATTAGGTAGCACTTGAGTATTTAATCCACTATTATTTGCGTGTCACTTTATATTTAAAATATCATTCTTTAATGCAGTTTTGAGAAGAAATTTTTTCATAAGTTATTTTTTTTAAGAAAACCAATTCACCGCCTCTAATGAAATGAAGCAACCTCGTATTATATTACTTGTTCATGATTATGAATAATTTTGCCAAAGACCATGTGAAATGATTTATGACATCTACAGTATATTCACCAAAATAGTCACCGTCATACATTCACTAGAAAAAAATATTCAATACTGAAAAATATTAATAAATTTCTTAGATGCTTGCCGGAGTTCTGAATGTCAAAGTTATAATTATATTTGAATCTAAATATTTATCTAATTATTCAATTGATCTATGACTTAGATCATTGATCTCATTAACAAAAGATAGAGCAAAGACTTGAGAATAGCATGGAAAAGAAGAAATAAAAGCAGCCTGAAAACACAAGCATCTGACAACAGTAAAAGTGACACATCAACTGTAAAAGATGTGTTAATCATCCAAAAATTTAATTGCATTTCACTAAAGCAAAAAAGAAATTTACTGACAAAATGAAAGGTAAAGATAAAAGTAAAATGGTAAACAAAGCTAACACTAATGATATCTATTTTGAATGTAAAAAAGTAGGTTATATCAGATTGGATCACCCCCACAAAAAAAGGACAGCCAAAAGGTATAAAATCAGGGCTAAGAGGAAGACAAAGAAAATTTAAAAAGCCTTCTTGTTAAATTCTAACATTGATTTCTAGTCCAATGAACCAGTAGAGGACAAAAGATGAGAGGTAGGGAGTACTAAGATTCTGAGAAATTTAGAAAAGACTCTGGTCTATCCTATATTGGGCTTTAATGTTTTAGAATAAATATTTATTTATTTGATATCTTGATTAGACATATGGTAAAAGAAACGCAAGATGGCCTCTATTTACTTAAAATTAATAAGCTCATTTAAAAAAGAATCATGCTAGTTTAGAAAAAGATCATATTGCTCTGTTACTTGATCTAGATCACATTAAGATACAGTTGGAAGACAAAAGTTATGTATAGAACTTGAACAAGAATATAACTTATTGCAATAAGAAATATTTTATTTTAAATGCAAAAAGCATGAATTACTCTGTTGAGATTGGCATAAAAAGAGGTAAAAATATTGATTTGAAAAATGACGTAAAGAAACTTGCACGTGTTAACCTTTTATGCATATGCCACATAATTAAAGTCATATGCTACATCTTATTTCAAAAGAAAAACACTTTTAAAACTAGTTCTTTTAAACATGTTTTTCCTACTATCACTTGTCAATTTTGTGGTTCGCATAAACATCTCTCACATGTGTACACATAGACAAAAATCATATTTGAATGCCAAAAACTAGATTTCTGCATCACAACATTACTATACATACATCAATTAGTAGACCCAATATGATTTGACTTTTAAAAATCAAACATGATCTGCTTAAGTAGATACCACCTTCACAGTAGGACCAATGAAAACATGTGAAGACTAAATTGTTGGAGTTCAAAACATCTGAATAGTGATAAAACTAAATTTGCAACACTAGAGAATCCATGAATGGTGGCAAAGTCTTAAAATTATAAGTTATGCTTCAATTATTTCATTATGAAAAATGTCCTTTTAATAGATGGTTTAATATATAATTTACTTAGTATTAGCCAAGTCCATGACAAAATATTTGTTATAGAAATTTTATCTTCATCTTATATGTTAAAACAAAATGAAAAAAAAATAAAAAAATTAGAAGGCAAGCTTCAACAATGTTTACATACTTCATATTGGTAATATTTGTAAGTTTACTCACTTCTTAAAAATCGCATTAGATGAGCTCTGATTATGGCCAAGGAGACTCTAAATTCTATAATGCCAATATGCACACACTTAGAAAGATCACTCATATAAACTTGGTTATGAGGATATTTAAACTTGACTTCATTAATGATCAACTATGTGATGCGTGTTCATTAAGAAAAAACACGCCAAATAAACATTTCATTTTACTAAGTCAATTGCTACACATAAAAACCCAGTGATCATGCATGTGGATTATTTGGGTAACTTTAAGAGGTGAGTCATACGGATTTATTATTGTTGATGATTTCATCATATTTATTTGAGTTAGATTTCTAACACAAAGCGATTCCGTCAATGAATTCAAAACTTTTGCTACACAGATTCAAAGGAATATAAATTTGTATTATATCTACATAACATAGTGACTATTGTGACAAAATTTGAAAATGAGAGATTTGAAAGATTTTGTGAAGAGTCTAGAATTACAAAATTTTTCCTGCATCAATAACACTCAACAAGTTGGAGGAATTGAAAGAAAAAATAGAACATCGGTTGAAGTTGTCCGACCTATGCTTCATGAGTAGAAATTTCCAAAATATTTTTGGGTATAAGTTGTGAATATGACAAGCTATGTATTGAATAGAGTAAATATTCGCCCTAAATTGAACAAGAAATCTTGAGCTGATCAAGAGTAAGACACCAATTTTATCACATTTACATATGTTTGGATGAGAATGTTTTGTTTTGTACAAGAAAAAATCAAATTTAAGAAAGTTTGATGCCAAATTTTAGGATAGTCATCAACTAAAAAATCATTCAAATTTTTTTAATAAGAACAAATTAGCAGTTGAAGAGTCTACTCATGATATAATTGATGAATCTAATATTCAACAACAAACTAGGAAAGATGACACAGATGAAGAGATCACTGGAGCTACTAAAAAATCTTAAGTTAAAAGAAAATGAAATTAAAGACCCTCTTAAGGAATGGTGGTATGTGGTTTAAAATTTTTGGAGAAAATGTATTGGCTCTTTGGCTCTTTGTAAAATTTTGAAAGATATTTTATTGAATTGTTTTAGTTGTTGATTGAAATAAAATTTAACTACCGTTCAACTAGTTAATATCGTGATATTTGTTGTGATATAAGATTCCAATGCAACAATGAATATTGTAGGATTGTGGTAATATAGCAATGAAGAATGTGTAATATGAACACAAGAAAAAGAAAAATCCTCAAGCTCTAATACCATAATAGGAATTGGTTAAGCATTTTATTACAATATTTGCATAGAATTTATACAGTCGTAGAAGAGCTTCTAATACAAAACATAGAAAATAAGAATATAATTACAAAATAACTATAATAGTTTGTGAATTGATGAGTTGATAATAGGAATCCCATAGATAAAAAAAGTGGCAGTGAAAGAGGAAGGAAAGAGGGTCGAAGTCTTCATGATTATGGATCAAAACTAGCGGAAATTTTGCAGGCATTTCATAGATAGATACTCTTGTTGTGAAGGACTTTTATGCAAACACCTTCCTTATCTTTGAGTTTAAAATAAAAATTACCAATTGATAAGATAAAACCAATGCAATCCTCAGCTCCCTTCCAAAAAAAAAGTCAAAGACAAATAGTATAAAGGGATAACACCAAATTTTTGAAAATAATTCTAGCATCTTTAGATAAGAAGTTTCCTAACCATGAAAAAAGCATCATCTGAATCTTTTCAATAAGAAGATTCCAAACAACAGAATGAAAAGATTTAAAGCCTAAAGAAATACCTAAACATTTGACTGAAAGAGTTTCAAGAGAGCCCGTGATATTAGCCAGAAGAGTGCCCAAACCAGATTGTCTGCCGAGATAGGTGATTTGGACTAGACCAAACCAAAATAATGAGAATAGCATAATCTGTATATGAATATAAACCTAATAAAAAATGATAGGGCTTTTCCTTTTCCAAATTTGTTCACCATACAAGTTTAAATCCAAGTGCAGGGCATGTGAGGCATGTTATGCATTGGAATTAGAGATGTATAAAATAGTTTTCTGATCTACCCTTCAAAGGTGGAATTCCGGAAATAACAACCACTTGAATAACGCCCCTCATGTATCAATAAATATGCAGCTTATAGTTAATTAATTTACTCTCTAAATGGAAATTACATAAAGCGCCCAACATTTTTATTATAGGCAGCATGCAAGATAACAATAACATAAAGGAACTTACACATAAAACCTCTAAAATTTAAGTTTTTATAGCCTACAAAATTTGATGTATGAAATTATATGTAAATATGTAATAAGTTTTTTCCATGGCAGTTTGATTAAAACACAATTTGAAGTTTTTAACTTAAATTCTATAGTTTTCACCTAGACCGAAGCACAGACGCACACTAAATAAAATAGCACGAGAAAGATTAACCAACAAGAAATTCAGAAATAAGATCAAAAGTATGAGCAAGAAATAGAAGATTGATAAAAGAAGGAAAGAGAACAGGGAAGATACAGGCAAAAAAGCCATCATATAATTTTTTTTTTTTTCCTTTCTTTCATTTATCTCCTCAGTCAAGGTGTTTCTTCCTAAACAAAATTGCTGCTTTTCATAACAATGTAGCAGTAAATGGCCAAAGAAGAAATCAAACAAATAAGTAGAATAAAAAGTGAACACTTTGAAATAGCTGAACATGGCTGTAACTAAAATGGGGGTTACAGAATGTGGATGGTAAACTTCAATGTAAATGCCCCAGCAACCAATAGACTTGCCCGATAAAACTTATTAGCATAAACAATACAACAATAGAGAAGACGTACCTGGAGGAGGGCTGCAATAGTACCAAAAGAGTTCCATAATAAAGGAGCTAAATCCTGAAATATCTCCCTTTTCTGCGAAGAAAATCAGTAAAGTTTGATCAATGAAAACTATCAATATCGCCAACTATAAACCAACTAAATTGACTGCTATATGGTGATTTTAACTACAACTTGCACAAATCATTTTGCACAACTATTCATGTTACCATTAACCTGCTAATTTTCTCTCCTAATCATTCCACATTAATTAAATATACCTGCATTATTGATAGATCTTCCAACATTTTTTTACGTTCTCAAACAATAAATATACTTTAAAGTACCTTATCATTAAAGGTGGTACCTCTAACACCTCTCTGATATAATCGTTATGCTATCTTTGGTTTTATTTCACTTTCATCTTAACATTTTCATTTCAGCCCACCCATCTTAGTTGTCATTGACTTTTTTTGCGCAACCCTAAAGTTATAAAATATATCTAGTTTAATTGCAATTAGGAAAGATTCAACTTTGAAATCTCAAAGATATTTTGCATCACATATTACTTCTAATACATATCTCAATTTTAAACACTCAACCTTAATTTAGAAGTGCTATCGTCATCCATTATATCAATCTAAGTGCCAGAAATTTTAATATTTACAATGCATGACTTTGATTTTTTTAATTTCAAACTTGATTGAATGCTAAAGTTTTGCAAGATTTGAGATTTCAATGATTTTTCATAAAACCTAGTTTCTACTGATCAACTATAAGAAAAAGTATATTTTGTAAGGTTTTATGAAGCTTAGCATCAATTTCTTCTGATCTTTTGAAATTTAACTGTGTTAATCCTAGTATTGTGGCATTATTGGGGAGTTTTTGGATTTAATTTTATTTTTAAAGACTTAGGCTTCTTTTAGGACAGCTTTCTTATTGCTTCTCAAAGCAACTTTTTGGTACAAAATTTTTCTTTTTGCACTAAAAAGCTGCTTTAAGAAGCAACAAAAAAGCTGTCCCAAACAAAGCCTTAAAAAAAGGCTTTTTGGGGATGAACATTTCGATCCTAGATATATCAAGGAGATGATAGTGGGTTACAGCAAATCACAATAATCAAGTTGCCGGAAGTGGTCTCCCAGAACATCATGAGTGCTGATTCCAAGCAGGCTCAAACGCCAATGAGATCACTTCCCTCCACCTCTTGTTTTCCTTTTATCTCTCTTTTCATTTTCAACCTCTTGTTCCTCGTTGTTGTCCTCCAACATCCAACCTTCTCATTCCTCTCCTATTTACTTATTTCCCATTTCCTTCTCCTGCCCCTCGGGTTTATGAGTGCAAGGGAAAGAGATCTCCAGGTTATTTTGCCAAGATTTTCAGGAAGAAGATGGATGAAGCACTTACAGTAAAAACAGAAGAGATGACTGTAAAGGACGAGAAAGGCCAACAATGCATATCTAGATATTCTCAATGAGCGGAATGAATACACTAGTTGAGCAGGAAAAGAATTAAGCAACAAAAGGGATCAGGGGTTTCAATGGATGGAAGAAAGGTCCAAATTTGCTGATTTAGCAGTTTGCAATGCATATAAAAATGCAGTACATAGACAAATTTCGCAGCACACGATAGCATAAAACCCGTCAATTGCTTAACCAGCAGTTTCGGAACATACAGTTTTCCCAAACCATATTCACTCTGAGAACCCCCAAGTCTGAACATTTGTAACCGCTCTCCTCCCAAAATAGCAACTCTCACATTACAAACCACTTAAAATAGATAAAGAGAACTTCTGCAAAACCCTCCAAATCCACTGCTTCTAGCGATAAAAAAGAGTAAATCATACTGAAACAAGAAAAAAGTGAACTGCTTAGTTCATCGAATCAAACCCATCAATATCGTAAAAAAAAAAACAAGGGCTGAGAAGATGACCTTGGAGAGATCCAGGAGGGCGCTCTCCCTGAGCTCCGGGTCGCAAAGATCGAGCACGAGTTGCTCCGCCGAGGCCATCTTCTGATCCTTGGTGGACTGCGCGGCTACTGCCGCAGCCGGAGACGTAGGGGATGGTCCGACGAACGGCGGCGCGTTGATGGAAAGAGTGGGCAGCAGATTCGACATCTCGCCGCAAGAGCAGAGAGGTCAAAACCAATAAAGGTCGAGCTCCGTGATTTCCGACCACTCGTTACAGTTAAAGTAAGGCGTCTTCAAAAATTACATGACTACTTTTAAAATTAGAAATTTTTAAGTACATAACACTTAAAATATATCTATTTATTTATATAACATTAAAATTTTAGTATTTATCCTTCTATCACCTAAAAGTCCTCTACCTCATCAAATATACCACTCCGTTTCTCTCCCGTCAAAACTAAACCCCAAAAATTATTTTTCGCGCGAGAATAGTCTTCTCCAACTTGTGCGAATACATCCGAATAGAGCATCTCCCTTTCTTGCGTTTAAATCCCCTCATCTTTTCCATTTTGTGCAAAGCTCCAGCTCAATCGACATTTCGTTGATTCCAGCCATCAAATTGAAATAGTGGCAGAATCTTCCAAAATCCATCCCAGCAGAAGGCCAAACGTATGAAGCAACCACAAGCAGACAAGAGGGTAATTGACTGAGTGATCAAACAAATTGCAAAAGAACTTGCTTGTGCCAGATTTGTTTTCCTTTATACCTTTTTTCATTTCAAAACTTGAAGAGAAAATGCTTAGAGATAGAAATAGAGATTTGTTTCAGATGAAGCGTAATTTAATTCAGAATCTAGTACACTAATTTCAGGAAAAGTAACTTTTGAGCGGTGTGGAGAAGAAGATCGGAGATGGGAGTTGCTTGATCGGTCGTCGGATGGAGAAACAATTGTCTTGGGCGGCGTGGAGAAGACGGTCAGCGTCGACAGCGTGGTGCACATGGAGAAGAACATCAAAGATTGAAGAAGAGCCGGCTAAGCGAGGATGAGGCGTTAGCGAAGCAAACGTGCGTGAAATACAACTTTCGGGGTTTGGTTTTGACGGGAGAGAAATAGAGTGGTATATTTGATGAGGGATAAGGCTTTTAGGTAGTAGAAGAGTAAATACTAAAGTTTAGATGTTAGATAAGTAAATAGAGATGTTTTAAGTGTTAGATATATAAAAACCCCTTAAAATTAACCTATATATGTGCATTTAACGCTTAAATTTTATATTTATGCATATAATACATTATTTTTAAATAAATTAAAACATTCTTACTTTTCTACTATCTTTGGGTCACTCACATGATTTATTATTTTATGCGGAGTGCGGAGGTCGTTCGTAGACTAATAAAAATGCATCACGTCACCTTATTGATGGGTACCCAGCTAGGTATCTGCACTCAATACCACTGGGTACCGCGAGGTACCGCTGGGTATCCAGTGCTTATTCAGGCGGTTCTCGCGTCAGATATCCGTACATAATAAAAGCCCCACTCACACAAAGCTCTTCCCCTTCACATTAATAGGTTCATCTATGTTTTTTAGCAAGTTCTTATCAAAATTTCATCACATTTGTAATGATCATTTAAAAAATAATTTTTAAGGTGTTATTAACTTTGATATGTGTGACACCAAACAACCAAGCTTAGACTCTTTATTAAAGAGAGCAAGAGCCAATAAGAGGTTTATGAAATCAAAGAAAGTGAACCACACAGAGAGGGTGGAGGCGAGAGTTAACGAGAAGAAAGTGATGTAGGATTCACGATAACATTTGAATTGCTACGACAAAGGGAGAACAATTATGTGAGTGATAAATCAAATTATATTGTACGATCCTAAGAGGTTGGACGAGCAATCACTCCTCTCAAGGGAAATAGAGAAATTGGTAATGAGAATTATTTGAACCGCACCTTCCTACTACTCCACTAATGACCCATAACTCCCACATACCCAATACTTCACTAATAGGCCATGAATCCCACCTGCCAACTACTCCACTAATGGGCTAAAACTCAACCCAACCCACTACTCCACTATTGACCCACATTCATAAACATGGGCGGACCAAAGAGCATGGCATGGGCGGGCCACAGGCATGGCCAAGACAGGTGTAATAATCGGACCATGCATACGATGGGTAAGCTAGCAGACCATGTGGGCCAATTTTGCGTTAGGGTCCGATTTTTGGCTTGGAAGGTCCAATTCAAACATTTTTGGAGTATATGGGACCGTTTTTCGACATTTTAGACTCAATTTTGACACTTTTAAGTCCAATTAGGACATCTACACCCAAGAACATATTATTTTGAACATTTAAGTTGCATAAAAAATTCTTCAAAAGCTGTAATATATATTTTCATACTCTATAGACATCGACGTACGAAAATATGGGGCAACTAATACATCATAAAAAAATCATCTTGATCAGGCACGAAGCTTGAGGTAGAATCAAATAAGAAACTGTTGAAATTAAAATTGGGACCATCTGAACTCTAATTTCAACAAACTTACAAGCAAACTGAGCGTCTTGGAATTACGAACCCAACGACACCAAAATCGACTCAATTCGAGCCCAAATGAGTTCAAATCAAGGAATCAAAGCATTATTGGAAGGTTCAACCCACAATTTGGATTACTTAAAGGTTTCCAAACTGGACATGCTTATAGTCGAATCGAGTGATTCGACGAGACGAATGCAACGAACCTAAGATCACTGAATTCTGAAATCACCAAGACATTCAAATGTCCAGTAAACGATTTATGATCATCGGCTGTCTATCCAAACCACTCCAACTTACCCCTGATCTTCCAACTATTTACAGGTCATATCACTCTAAAAAATCTATAAATATAGCCCACTTTTCTCAGAAAAAAGGAGACCCCCAAGCAAGGAATCAAGAGAGGGATCGGAGATCACTCTTACCTCCTCGCTCCTCCTTGACCACTGCCTGGACTTCTGCCAGACCACCATGTAACGCCAGATTTCTGTCGAACCAACACCCGACGCCGGAGTTTTACCGGGACACTGCTCGACGCTGAAGTTCTGCCATACCACCACCTGGTGCAGGAGTTCTTCCATATCACCGCTTGACACTGGATTTTCGTTAAGACCACCGCCTCACGCCAGAATTTTGTCAGGACCACCACCTCACGCTGTACTTCCACTGAACCACCACTTGATATCAGACTTCCGTCAGGACTACTGCATGAAGCCGAATTTCTACCGGACCACCGCCCAACGCCGGAGTTCCACCAAACCACTGCCGGACCACCGATTGAGGCTCAAACTTTTGCCGGACCATTTACAGAAGTTGGAGTTCCCCCAAACCACCGAATAATGTTTGGACTTCGTCCGGACCACCGCTTTACAACTACAATCTTTTTTGACTCATATCTCATATCGACTTTAGTCCTTCTGACCTCCGTTGCCAACTACGATCCTTCTGACCTCCATCATCATACAATAGTCTTTATGACCCCTGTCTCATACCAACTATGGTCCTTCCAAACTCCATATCCAGATCTGCTCAGTAGTGGTTGGAAGTGAGAAATTTTGAGCCATTTTGGGGAGATGGGAAGGCCCAAGTAAATGAAAGAATCATTAACTTGGTGAATCCCTAACACCTCACAGATTTGAGCAACCTCAGTTACAGCATTGGAGAAGATGATGGAGCTTTTAGAGGCATTAATGAAGAGTCCAGATTTGGATCCAAACAGATGCAGCCGAGAGGAAAGACTCTCAGCATTGTCAGAAGTAGCATCTCCAAAAACAAGAAGATCGTCGGCGTACATGAGGTGATTGATGTTTAAATTATTGCATTGGACCCCCTTAAAACAAGAGTTGTTGATAGGGATGCTAAGCATTTGGGATAAGCTATCCATCACGATACAAAAGAGCAGAGGGGAGAGGGGGCATCCTTGTCTAAGCCCAACTGCAGAGTTGAAATACCCCTCGAGGGATCCATTAAGGCAAACAGAGAAAGGAACATCCATAATACAACCTTTGATCCAAGTAACAAAATGATTAGGGAAACCCTTTTGAATAAGTCTATCAATCAAGAACTCCCGAGAAACACAATCAAAGGCCTTTCTTATGTCAAGCTTAGCACAAAATTTTTTGTTTGAACCTTTGAATTCCCTTAGGATTTCAGAAGCAAGAATGATGTAATCCGTAGAACACCTCTTAGCAATAAAACCGGATTGACTATCATGAATAATCAAAGGGAGATCCCACTTCAATCTGTTAGCTAAAACCTCTGCAACAATTTTATAAAAAACATTACAAAGGGAAATAGGACGATAATCATTAATGTGAGAAGCATGTGAATTTTTGGGAATCAAAGTGATGGCGGTAGCCTTCATCCCCTTAGGAAAGGAACCAGAAGAGAAGAAATTGTTTACAGCTCTAAAAATTTGGTAACCAATCAAGTGCCAACTTTTCCTGTAAAAAGCAAATGAGAAACCATCTGGGCCTGGGGTGGAAGATTCATTGCCTTCAAAAACAGCTTTTTGCACCTCTTTATAGGAAACCAAAGCAACCAACTGATCATGTAAATGGGGTGGAACGGTCTTCCCAGAGGGGATAGAAGAGGATATTGCAGGAGTAAAAGTGGGATTGTATAGATTCTTGAAGTGATTAACAATTGCCATGGATATCTCAACATGGGTAGAAAAATGGCCCTCAATTGTGATAATTTCTTTGATATAGTTCTTATTCCTTCTTTGCCTAAGCTTAGCATAAAGGAAGCCTAAGTCATCTTCACCTTGAGATAGCCAAGAAGCTTTGGCTCTTTGAGATATCCAATCAGACCAGTTAGCTTGCAAAGAGGCAAGGTTTTCATTGATACTTTTTAAATTGCCATTCAAAAGGGGATCCAAAGGTTGCTGTTGAAGATCTGACAAACAAGAGTGTTGCTTTGCTTTAAGTTCCAAAATGGAAGTGGACAAGAAATTAGAGGAAGCCCAGTTCCTATTTTTAAGGGATCTTTTAAGGCGTTGCAAGCTATGAGAGAAGGAAGCAAGGGGACTTCTAGCGGATTCAACAGAGAATGCATCATGAACATCATCCCAAAAACCAATCATACCCGTCCAATAATTTATATATGTGTATTTAACGCTTAAATTTTATATTTATCCATATAATAAATTATTTTTAAATAAATTAAAACATTCTTACTTTTCTACTATCTTTGGGTCACTCACATTATTCTGTGCGGAGTGCGGAGGGCATCCAGAGACCAAT